ACAACTGTGTAACGCCAGTTCCAGGGGATCCCCACACCTGCACACAGACATGCAGGCATAACACTAAAATATACATAAAGTAAAAAAACTTAAATATTCAAATATTGACACCGCCAGAAAGGGTTAGTAGTAGCGGCAGCGAATGTGTGGATTAGCTTGGCTGGTTCACATATCCTGTTTACAAACATCACTGTTCTCACGTGTACACACTTATGTGCCAGTTAAAACCATAGCTACCTGGGCTGCTGAGATGGTTTGGTGGCAGGATCTGAGTTTGGACCGCAGTAGCCATGTTGGGTGACATACAAATGAGTGTGAGTACAGCTTCAAGGGAGGGGTCTGGCACCCTATGCTGGCCTCTGCGTTCACTCTGACAGACACTAATACAGGAACACTAAATCTTGTTTGGGTTTTACGTGTGTGTTCTGAGATAGAATCCACCGGGCAGACCACGGTGGCCTCCACAGTGATGCTATTAAATGCTGTGGCTAATACAATCATTAAAAGAAAAACTTTAATATGGAGGTGAGAAGTCTCCAGATTCACTCACAGGCTGACCTTGAACTTGCTATCCTTCTCCCTGTGCCTCTCTAGTGCTGGGATAACAGGTCTGGGCCAGCAGGGTGGTGAGAGTGGGAACCAGACCACAAGGTGTCCCAAAACATTGAAACCCTCGCTCCAGAATCAAGGGAAGACAGCCCAGACTCTCAGGCCGGCCGTTGGCTGCTCTGGCCACCGCCGAGTGGTCACAGTGAGGCGCTGCACTGGGAAACTGTCAGGAAGAAAAGGGAGGGAAATCCATCATTCTCTCAGTTAGGAGAGGAAGCTAGGACAGAATGGGGACATTGCCCGGGAGGAGGATGAGAGGTCTTGTTTGGCAGTTCCAGCCTGTGGGAGCCCAGAGGCCACTGCTCCTCAGAACTGCTTTATTGGAAGTCTGAGATAAATGTATGGCCCGGGTCCAGAGGAACAGCCACTTGAGAAGCCCCACCTGCTTGATTGACACATCAAAGAGGCCATTGTGAGAAAAAAGGCATCTTTAGAGAGGATGAAATACGCAATGGGGGAAGAGACCGAGCTGAGGGATTGCCAACCAGCTTCTGCATGGAGAGGGGTTCCCGAGAGGACGGGTGTTTGGGAGCTGTGAAAAAGAGAGGACTCAAAGTCATTGGGTCCAAGCTGCCAGCCTAGGT